GTGGGTTTCCATGGCCAAGCAGGGATTCGAACCCTGGTCTCCAGAGCCATAGTCCAACAGTCAAACCACTCCCACATGCTGGCTACTCTTTCCAATTTCCCCTCGTCTGCCTCTCCAAATAACCACCATGAGAGTTGCTATTAATTTTGCCTCTTGCAAGGGGAAAAATCAATACCAAAATTACTTTTTCCATATCCCTAATCATGAACGCATCCGTACATGTGAAGAGCCTTCTGTGCACCTTATGGACATAGAAGTGCCCTTCATTTGTTCAGTGTTCTCTGCCTAACAAAATGGGCTGCGACCTTACAAAGGACTGAGGTATTTGGGATCTCAGAAAAAGTTCCTCTTTGTATTGCTAACGAAATTCAAATTTTATCTCCTGGACTCTGTTCCAAAGAAGGAGGAGTGACCCACTTCCATAGATATCCCTCCAAAGAACACCAACAACACCTTGAAAATATGCAAGCCTGTGACTAATATTGTCATTTTATATATATATATATATATATATATATATATATATTCTCCTGTATGATTCTTAACAGTTTGCCTGATGAAGAACCAGTGGAGCTTCGAAAGCTTGCATGGCATATTGTGTGCATTTTGGTTGACCGATTAACGGTATCACTGTTTTGTGGATTTTGGATGTTATTGTACTCCATTTGTTCAGTGTCTCAGTCCCAAGAAAGGTTTCATAGGATAGGACTGCAGGCAGTCTTTACCATTCCTAGGAGGGCTCAACAACAATCACAGTCTTAATATTTCATGGTACTCAATCCTTTAGTACACTTCTTCCCCATGCCCTTATTTTTATTATTATAACCAACAAACTACACATAGACTATATATACATAGACAATAAATACGCTGACATACGATACAAAGCCTGAATCATAGAATCATAGAATCATAGAGTTGGAAGAGACCACAAGGTCCATCTAGTCCAACCCCATTCTGCCATGCAGGAACTCCCAATAAAACAGCAACGAATATATACAGTGACTTCCTCTTCTCATCCCTCTGGTTTTACTTCTTAATATTGCATTTTCTTTCTTAATGACTTTGTTGTTGCTTAAGATCCTTTAGTACACCTCTGGTTGATCATTCCTAAGGAGGCTCAGCTCATAGGAGTCTTGGTGGTCCAGTCCTCAGTGCTATAGGAAAAACTGTGCTGTTTTGCTAAACCCATAACAGCCGACAGAATACACAGTCTTGTGCATTTCTTTTTCATTTTCGGCATAGCGGGTGAGAACATTTCCCTGTAAATTGTCTCTGGGGGGCTGTCGAGGAATGTCTAGTTCTGTATTTCATATGTATTTGCAATTGTCCTGCTTTTTCTACTCGCTTCTAGATCTTGATTTGCAGAGCGCAAGACATCTTGGCATCCAGCCACTCTAATAAAAGCGTTGCCTTCTTAAGAGGATGTCAGACTAGTTAGAGCCATTAAAATGGTGAAGTCATTCAAACAGATTGGGTTGGTTGTGTTAACCACTACTTTGCCGCGTGGAGCAGAAAACGAAAGGCTGCCAAAATCAATCATAGTCTTTACCCGGCCCAAGATGAATCTGGTGCTGAATATGTTGAAACTGGAAAATGGAAAGGCTTCTGTGTGACACAGAGTGCATGGTTTTTGTCATTGGTTCTGCTGGATTCTTTTCTCCATCCCCATCAGTACTGCACTTGGGGCAGAAAAACGAAAAGTACAGATATACGATGGGG